AGAGTTCTCATGTTGTATATGTCAAGATACACTTCATTACCACCTTCTACAGCTGTCCAACAGACACAGCCAGTTATCTATCTCATGTTCCTGAGACCTAAGTCAACCCCGTCACAGAGCTCACATACTTCCTTAGGTCTAGCTTCTGTTATTATATGTGATACCTTTAAGACACCAATGAAGCTACCTTGATACGTGTCCCTACCACTCTAACACATCTGTAATAGCATCTCACTCATCTAGTTACCAAACTGCTGAAAGAAATAATGCAACCTTATCACAGGAGAGAATCGAATTACCATAGCCTAAAAACTCCAAGGTTCCGCGGAAAGAAGTGATCTGAACTTCTTGCGTATAAGCTTCTTTTAATGCTCGGAGGAACCTGATGGTGTGAATGTGTCCTAAGGACAAAGTGAATTGGGCGAGTGGCAGGGATAACCCCCCTTTAACAATGATGAATTAGATTTCACATTGTACATTTTCACGATTATGTGAGTAGAGTGGAGACTTGGCGCATAACGCGTGATGGAGGTTGGTAAATGTTGTTACTGGTTCGTCCACAGGGACGAATGATGTCAACGCCGTGTCGTTTTCATGGACAAGAAAATGTTAGGCCAGTTTTTATTTCAATTTTTCTCTGGATAATATGTTATTGCATCAAAAAGAAGTCCAATTTATTGCCAAGACGTAAAACTTTGTAGAACCCAAACTTGACAGTTTTTATGCCCTGCTTGATTAGGATGCATGGACGTGTCGTGACCCACCACTCGTCTTCAAAGTTTCTTCTTCTACGGGATATTTGTTGGATGGAAAATCGGGTAATTGGCAGTGTTGTGTATGATCGTAAGCCTTGTACAATTTGAACAAAGGAATATGTTTGGGTTTGATAGTGTGATTGTATGTTTGACGAATTACAGCTTCATGACGGTACATTATTAGGAGGAACTGAGAGACTAATGACACGTTTAGTCAATTTCTTCTCGTAAAATCTTTACAAAATCACATGTTATTCTCCTCAGCGTCACTATCAGGCATTGAATCACCCTCACCGTTGCATGCATGAAGAGCTTGGTTTGCATTTAAGTATTTTCTTCTGTTTTAAGGAGTGAAACCAACGTTAAGCACATAACACAAAATACCACATGCTCAATAATCAATAACTTAATACAACCAGAACTCCAACAGAAATTGTGTTCCATGATAAAAACACATTACACGTTTATAAGAATGCCACCAGGACAAATCAACATGGCGGTGTGGTTTTAGCGCAACCGAGTAATATTTCAATAACTTAAGTTTCAGAGAGACTAAATATTTGGCGAAGCATTGACCAGAAATGTCACAATGACCGACGACTTCAAAGTAGTAATCATGAAACTCGATTCCGAAGTTTTCCCCGCTCTTTAGAACCACTGACGATAAACTGGTATAAAGTTTGCAAACTCACGCGTGCATCTCCTCTGTGAGGAACACTGTTTGGTGAAACCCACGCCCAACGTGGGTAACTGCAGTGTTGTGACATTCCTTTAGGAACTCATTTGCCTAATGGGTTATTCTGTTTATTGGGTAAATCAGGTTATGAATTTAATTTGTGCGTGTTGCTGAAGCTGAAGGCAGCTCGCTGAATTGATGCCCGCATTACACGCCAAACCGTCTATGACGATCCAGGATGAGGGCCTTGGTTATAAAGATTCGATTTTTATGGAGGATATTAGCTGGGCAAATATATTGAAGTTGAAATGACTCCAAATTGCTTCCCATTTACATTATGTTCAGTTTCTGTCTACGGCTTTCACTGATGTTATTGTGTACCGTGACTTTGATCTGCAATAAACAAAGGATTTCGTATTATTCAGCGTGTGGTGTTATTGTTCCACCGTTACAAATGAATATCAGAATTTTCCTAGCTAATACAATAAGGCATGGTTCGGGATGGGATAAGCATAGAGGTGTATAAAGAAGATGGGTAAATGAAGCAATTGCTGCATGATAAAATGGCTTGAACCAAAGAATTTAACTTTGATTTGAATCAAATAACTGAATTCTGCCTCGTTCAACTTGACCAAAACATATATCACAGTCCATATTTATTAACGAATGGTTTGGCTTGATGTAACCGTGCTGTCAAACTTAAAATAGCATTAAATGAATATCGAAAGGTGCACCTTGCCTGTCTCGAGTTTTCTGTTATCTCGAAGTATTGGCCTGGTATAATACGACTCTCGGTTGACGAAGTGTCACATTCCTTTCCATGGCTGCGCATTGTAACGCGCGGTTACAAGGAGAGCATCGATCTGACACCATCGAGAGAGTTTCCGGTTCATCAGCCACGCTTGTAACCTATTGCTTCAATTGATGTTCACGGGTAATTAAGGACCTTCATTAGACATTTAAGTTCGTCATCGTCACCTCGACGACAATTCTAGGGCTGATCGATAATTTGATATTCAGAATCGATCCTCGTCATCCTGGAAACGTCTATTGGTGATCGAAGCTCCTCAGTCGGATCAATCATAAAGATGCTAGAGTCAAGGAAGAAAATGAACCTCCAGGGGTATTGAAAAATGGCCGCCCGTGAGCTCCATACAGTGTTTTGACATATGCTCATCTGCAGGGCTGATATATCTATGAGTTGAACAGGTTATACAAATATAACATGATTGATGAACCTGACTTCCCATTAAATCTACATACGTCTGAGTAAGGCGCTTGGTGGTACAAGCATAGAAAACGCGCTATTATCATGGAAGAAGTAAAAGAGAGATTGGACGCCCATAACACGAGAATCCATTCGTCAACTTGTTGTAACTGGGTGTGTCCCGTTAAGGGGCCGAACATTTAATATTCTTGGGGTGGGGATGGGGATGGGGGGGGGGGGGGGGGGGGGGGGGGGGGTTGTGAGGATTTTATCTAAAAATAGAATTGTCCCAGAAAATGATTTGAAAAAACAAACTTCGCTGTTGAGAAAAAGGAAATTGTTGCAAGAAATAAGTAGTCTCCGTACAAATCCCAGACTCCTACCCGAATATCAAATGGACGGTCCCTAAAGTCAAATCAAAGTATACCTTTTTTTCGTCGGAATTTTTTTTAAATGGCTACAGCAGATTTTAAAGGTTCGCATGGCAATGGTTGTTACGTAATACAAACTCGTATTATGTATTATATAATTATTACATATAACACCTTTTAGTTAAAAATTTTAAGAACAAACTGGGAAGAACAAATAATATATCGTGTGTGACCTTACGACATTAGACAATTTTAAACTTTATCAACAAACAATGAATGTGTTTTTAGGATCAACAACAACCAACATGACACATCCTTCTTTCATAATGACGGACGTAAAATCGTTTAATACTTCAACTTCAACCCGAACAGATAAAGCAATCACAACGCTTACACCATCGGTGATTTTATCTGGTCACATAACACCTGTCTCCAGACGGTATGTTAATTGGTTTCTTGTTAGTAAAGTCCCCTCTGGGAATCAGTTCTCCTTTATCGAGATTATAGAACGTTAAGTAATAATTTCACGTCTCACCGTCCATACACAAGTCATACATTCTTGAATATTTACCGCGAGATTAGACCAGACTGTCTACCTCTACCGTGTGTGTGCCCATGTTATTAGCTGATATTGCAGACATAAAGTTCCCACTCAGAACTTCGTGCTGCTGATTTAAATCGGAGAGAGACTAGCTTACATAGGTCAGGGACTTTATCAAAATTAATTCTCAGTTTGATGGGAATGATAATAGAGTAGTTCTCATCCAATCACCAGGCCAGAGCTGGGACAGATTATCACTTAAAGCAAGACATGTAGTGATTAGAGATTGACAGGAGACGATCACGATTATGACCAGCACTTGCAGGCTGCCTGGACTTTCTGGCCCTCGGACCAACTCCAGTATTGATGTTCCTGCAAATTACCTGACGTGTATGAAATTTCTTCAGAGCAGAGCAAATCACCGAGAAAGCTGTAGGTGTCAATGGCCATTAAGTATGAAATGTTATGAATCACTTCAAAGATAGTTTTCATGAGATCTCAAATAGTGGCTCAGAATAGCTTTTATGTCCTTTGCTGCGCGACATGGACAGCCAAAATGGCTGGCGGAAGCCATTGCATAAAGTTGGGATGACGTCTGCCGTCTCTTGTAATCCATGACAAGTGTTGATTTGCCACAGTTCAGTGGATTTAATAGGCCGGTGACGCAAGGGTGATAATTCAGACTGATAGGATTTAAATCACCTTCTCTTAAGCATTCAAGGGAATTTCATTTTCCTTGACATTGGATTGACATGGTAGTTGTCCTATCACCGCGTTTGTTCGCCTGAATTCTGTAAGATGTGGGGAATTTAAAATGCCACTTATACAACATTGGCGTAAATAATTAGGCAAATTCTGTCTATCAGTGTGGCTGACTAAAGAGTTTTATTTCTGGGCTCTGGTAAGATTGCAGTTTAAGATATAAAAAAAATGTCAAGTGAAAACGTTGCTATGCATAAGCTCGAGTGATCACGGTAACAAACCAGTACGTGATGTCTGTACTGGATACTACACGGATTGAATTTATTTCAAAAGCAAGGCATAAAATGTTGAACGTACGACGACCACACTTGTATATAATGTATACATCATCGAAGATTTGTTAAATTGTATGTCAGTATTACTCGCCCGAAAACTTGTTAAACGTTTTCGTTATCAATGAGAGAGTGAATGAGTGAGTGGGTTTTACGCGTTGCTTTTAAGAAATTGAATATTTTAACATTATGGAGACCGGGAACACCAGAAAAAGGCTTCACACAATGTACCCATGAGGAGAATCGAACCCGGGCCTTCGGTGAGACGAATGAACGCTTTAACATTAATTGCTACCTTAAGACGATTATAATCCAGTGATCTGTTACGGAAGAAGTGCAATACGGTTCCTGTGTGACACAACGAATAAGCCCATTCACATGAACATATGACGCACCCAAACGTTTTAACCTCTTACCTTTCTTCTCCCTCCGTGGTTTTGAGAATCTTGGATGCGAAGAAACATTGCATTGAACACACCATGAGACAGCAAATGTCCATCATAATGACAAACATTGACATAGCAACTGTAACCTCCAGCACACTGTCATACACAGAGGTGGAGTTGATGAGGGTGGCGCCAGTCCCGGGGGTAAAGTCCACCTCCGCACCCCCCAGGGAGAAGATAATCTGAAGGGACAGGACACACAGAATGAGGGAGGCGAGACACAGAAGGCCAAGACTGTAGAGGAACTTGATGACGCTGCTCTCCTTTTCACACAGCGTGACACGTGACGCGCTTGCGAGACTTTGGCGCGAGAGGTTCAGAGATCGTCTGGAGAAGCTCGATGGCCGACTGAGGTTCCCGTTAGTTCTTGCGAGAAGCGTGGATATGCGAGATCCGGCGTCACTGCGGTGTTCGTCTTGCTTTTGAAGGATAACATCAAGGAGTTCTCGGTCTCGGCAGTTTTCAGCTGCTCTATTATAATCCTGCATCATTTGCGGGAACATTCAAGATGGCGGACATGTTGTGCAATGGCGGACGTGGAGGGTGATAATAACCGGAAGTGTGGCATCCCTCCGCCATCTTACAATTTAGAATGCCCAGGTCTATTGACCAGGAATTTCATACACCTGCAAAAGAAATGATATCATTTGAATATATTGGTATTGGACATTCCATTGTTTGTTTTTTATGTAAAATCGTTTAATCATCAGCTGATATTCATACTTGAAAATCCGCTTTTCATTGTTTATATGACTTCGTTTGAATACTTTTGAACCTTCTTACTGCTTTGATGTAATGAGTTAGTCTAGCACTGACTATCAACAGTGCTTCGTCTCGATATTCAAGAACGTTCAATTTAGTTTGAGACATTAAATCAATTACTTTGTTCTTCAACGAAAAGGAAATGCGGCGATCGTGAAGCGTTGTTTGAATTATTAAAGACATGTGATTCTCCCAAGGGTTGCTTCAGCTTTAACAGAAACCATCAACGTTATTCGGTGTTAAACAAAGTTAACACTGGTTGAATAAACGTGAATTTGATTACTTCAACCCTCGACATTTTTTAAATCCGTCTCTCTTTTCATGAACATATATTGTTCAATTGATTTTGCTGTTCTGTATAAACAATTTCATGAATCATAGTTGGTTGTGCTTTAACATATATGCACAAGGACCACACAAACTCGGTTAGCCTGTAAACACATTCCCCAGCAGAATCGCCAAGCAATAAAAAATACATCCTTTCATACTATAGACCGTGTCGTCAACACAACTGTGCAATTCTTTGACTATTCGTTATGTAAACATAGTTTAGATATATCCGTACATGTCAGTGGGCATATATTTCAAAAATCGATATATTCCATAGTTTTCATAGTATGGAAACTAGTCGATGTGCATATATTACACGGTTTCCTAAGCAGTTTCAATGTGGACAAGGCGCTTAATCCGTTTTCAAGGTTATCTTGTATTAACGCTGATGAGGTGAACAAGCAGTACCATATAATCCTCACGTTATCGTTCAAAAAGGAGGCTGTGTATTGTCCTTCTATAGCACAGCATAACATAGTGATAGATTAGAAACCTTCAAGCTAAATGTATGACACTTGTCTTTCCAATACACAAGGGCCTTAGAGTCGTATTGTATTGTATGAGTATTATATGATATCATTCCAATGCTATTGTGGTAATGTAAACTCACAATTCGCTCATTGGATTCTTGACAGATGACCAAACGGGCCAACCTATATTCAAAATCCCATATTCATAGATTATCTATACGTTAACAAAGGTTTAGTCAAAACTAACAAAGGCATGGCCAGTTTTTTCCGAATCTGCTGTTTTGGTATACCACACGGAGAGTTGTTGCCCATCAATCTGGAATACAACATCAGTAGCAGATGCCCATCAGTTTGGCATATCACAATAATAGCATATACCATCACTTTGACATACCACGCCAGAAGCAGATGCGCATCAATTTTGCACACTACAGAGTAACAGATGACCATCAATTTGGCATACAACACCAGTAGCAGATGCCCATCAATTTGACACACCATACCAGTAGCAGATGCCCATCAATTTGACACACCAACACAGGAACAGATGCCCAACAATTTGGCGTTTCACACCAGAAGAGGATGCCCATAATTTTGCACACCACACCAGTAGCAGATGTCCATCAATTTGGCATACCACACCAGAAGCAGATGCCGATCAATTTGGCATACCTCACCAGTAGCAGATGTCCATCAATTTGGCATACCACATCAGTAGCAGAATTCCATCAGTTTGGCACACCACACCAGTAGCAGATGCCCATCAATTTGGCACACCTACACAGTATCAGATGCCCATCAATTTGGCATATCACACCAGAACAGGATGCCCATCAATTTGGCACACCACACCAGTAGTAGATGCCCTTCAATTTGGCACACCATCCCAGTAGCAGATGCCCATCAATTTGGCATACAACACCAGTAACAGATGCCCATCAATTTGGCACACCACACCAGTAACAGATGCCCATCAATTTGACACACCATACCAGTAACAGATGCCCATCAATTTGACACACCATACCGGTAGCAGATGTCCATCAATTTGGCATACCTCACCAGTAGCAGATGTCCATCAATGTGGCATACCACACAAAAAGCAGATGCCCATCAATTTGGCATACCACACCAGTAGCAGATGCCTATCAATGTGGCACACCAACACAGTAACAGATGCCCATCAATTTGGCATATCACACCAGAACAGGATGCCCATCAATTTTGCACACCAACACAGTGACAGATGCCCATCAATTTGACACACAACACCAGTAGCAGATGTCCATCAATTTGACACACCATACCAGTAGCAGATGTCCATCAATTTAGCACACCACACAGTAACAAATGCCCATCAATTTGACACACCATACCAGTAGCAGATGTCCATCAATTTGGCACACCGCATATGAACCATTGACAGATTTTGTCCCATCTTGTGAGTTGGATCCCAATGAAACAAGGTCAAAGCACTCATTATGGTTCCTTGTTTGTTACATGAAGACAGTGTGCAAACTGTATACCAGAGGTACAGTCATGTGATGCTAATCTCAGAGAACATCTCATGTAAGGCCAAATGGGTGGTTCATTAAGGATGCTCTTTCTCAAATTATACTTTACGTAAATATTATTAGGATGACCGACTGCGTGAGAAAACACGCCACGCGCTTGTAACATAATTCAGTCCAGTTGATCTTCACGAAAACAGTGATTGAGGTATTGTACCGAGTGGGTGAGTGAGTGAGTGAGTGGGTGTTTGGGTGAGTGGATGTTTGAGTGAGTGAGCTTCAGGAAAACTAAGTCCTTTCTTTTCAGATTTTAGCAGGGCCCGCCTTCACTCTTAGAAAAGATATACCCTGCCAAATCTCTGTGATCGACATTGAATTATTTCCCTCTGATAGACGTTTTTCATTTCTTTTCCAAATAGAAAAATGTCAACAACTGTTGCAAAGTGTTTGACATATAAACGTGTAATCAAAAAGTCCAAACATGTCCAATAAGGAGACAGATTTAAATACTTGTCAAAGGAACAAAACACAACGACTATTAATAAGCACACATTGTGTCTGAAACAAACACACAACACGACAAATGACGTCAGTCAGCGTCTCCGCATTTACAAAACCTGGCCTGGATATATTCCTGTGCAACATGAAGACTATACGGTACAAAAACCAAACCCGAGAAAGGATGTCTCTGTTCACAGTCAATATCAAATTTTCAACTCACTTCCTGTCTTTGGTCTGGCTGCGTGCCAAAACGTAAACTTGTTAACACAACTCTCCGTTATACATTTGACAAGGGATCCGCTATGAATTTAAAAATTCACGTAATCTGTGTTTGTCCCACCGATGTCTTCTATACCGTGTAAAGAGTCCATTAGACAACCCAACTGCGAACGAACCTAAAAACAATCCATTCATTTTCATGTTGACAAAATGACAGCCACTTCGTTTACTGTTGCCGAAAAAAACATGGCGGGTCAAAAAGGACGCTAGCTACTCGACGTTATCACATTGTGTTTAGTACAAATAATGCTTGCTAAAAATCAGTTTCTTAAACCTTAGAGACACAAAGAGCACATGTATGGTCTACTTTGACAAGTAAAAAGCATAGTGGGCAGATAAAAAAGAACAAGGCTACTAAGTCGTCAAATGGGAACTGAAATTGTGTTTGAGAATCGTTAAATATTCAACGTCTGTTGACGTTACATTTGGTGGAAACATTGTTTTTTGCATTTGGTGAAATCAGTTGGATAAAAGACGTAGTGTTAAGTGTTACTATATAAATATCGGCATCCGTTAAATATCGATTAACGATATCCGTTACCACAATATAGTAAACATTAATTATTATTGTTCCATCAATGTAGGATTATGTTAAATGTAGCTTGGATAGCACTTAACTTTATTTGAAACTGAAAGTATTTGATGTGGGTGAACCTCCTACTATGATTAATGTTTGATGGTACTCTTTCCTTGCGTGAAATTGTGGCCAGACATCTTATGACCATGTTTAGGTGGCAGATATTACACAGTTGCCAAACAAGCGAGCAAACAAACAAACGGTGCCCAAAACTTAACTTATCATACAGACTAATCAATTCATGTTTTTTAAAGTTTATTTTTGGTGTATATATTATGGTGATGAACGTGGTAGTAACTAATACCTATCTACAAATGTTGTTTTGTTCTGATATGATTGCCTGTTGCCTATGACGTGAAGCGATCACCATTACTTTACCCAGTAATAGAGACAAACAATATTCAGATGTATTAGAATGAAGTGACAGTCTCTGATAGACGATTCAGAATATATTTTTTACAAAGGTCATGCTATTTTAATAATATGAGTGCACAAAAACTGTAGAAAATGCGCCACGGACAAATCCAAGACTCCAATTTCCTACTCAGATTGCCTTGTATATTTATCAACATGGGAAAATATGAGAACAAACGATAGTTTTCACGCGACATATTGTATACCCTGCGTTTTGGGTTTCCCCGAAGTTGTGGGTGAGTCTGCAACATAACAGCGTGCCTAGGAACAATCCAATCAACTGGTTGACACAATTAGCAACGACCCAATTCGTCGGGGAAGGGTACACAGGAGGTGTAAAACCCCGTTTGTTCGGACGACTAAAGTCATGTACAAAATGTGAGAGACAAGTTTACGTACACATGGGAGTTTGCTCAACAGGCAGATAAATGTTGGGAAAGTCATGAATCTAATGTAAGAGACAATTCTAAGCCCCGATGGAGGTTCATTCATCCCGACGATGTCATATATGTGTATAGGAGTGGTACTGTCTGGAATAACGGAACTCCACTGTTTACCTGAATATCACCGGTGGCTGGGAGTCATGTCAGAAACTACTTTTTCACTCAGTGTCCATTTCCCGTGAAGCAGTTATATAGTGAACGCAACAGTAAACTAGGATAGTTTCACAAACAATGTTGTCCGTGAATTGAATTTTCATCTGTACATATGCATTGTATATGGACCGTTGGCCTTTGAACAATAAACACTTTTGACTTTTTTTTAATAAAGTAGACCTATCT